TCATAGTCACCCGCAGACTATATTTTACCAAAAAAGTAGCCCCTAAGGGATAAAAGTTCGGCCACACCTGCTGTAGTGGATGGTCTACAACCTCCAAGTCATCTGATAATGTAGAAACAGTTTATGATCTGATATTGCAGGATCAATGACTGAGTATTCACATGATGTTTGAAGAACTAGGTATAACTGCAAAACAGTCTGTCAGATATTGACATGTTGACTTAGGTAAGTGCAAAATCTGTTCCAGGTTTGTGCCTTATATGCTCAGTGGAACAAAAACAGGAAAGATGGATGCTTGCAACGATTTTGTTGAAATGTGACAATGATCCTGCATTCTTGGGTTGATAGTAACAGGATGAAACTTGGTGCTTCAATATGATCCAGCAATGAAAAGACAAAGCATGGATTGGAGAGGCATCGGATCTCCAATGTCTCAAAAATGCCAGTTTGCGAAATTGAAGATAAAAACTTTGCTTGTCGTCTTTCTGATAAAGATGGTCTGATCCACAAGGAATTTGTTTCAAAAGGTGAATGGTAAATTCTACAGATTGCTACTTTGCATTAAATGTGTGCAGTCACACTTTGCAAAGACTGGATGATGGTTTCTTTCCCATGACAATGAATCAGCATTACACATCTGCAGTAGTGATGGAGTTTCTGGTTACACATGGAATTGTTTAGCTGAATCATCTGCCTTAATCACCTGATATGACTCCAACCGACTTGTTTTAGTTTCCGTTGATTGAAGTTGTCGATGAACAGACAAATTTTCAGACATCTAGGCAAACGTGACGGTCACATTCATCGTGAAGGTAATACCAAAAGGTTTTTCTAAGGTCTGTTTCCCTAAAGCTGTCCAGTATGTAAAGTATTTATTATATATTTAAATATATATGTTTAGCCTAAATTTGTAATTTTTAATAGTAGTTATCAGCCACATATTGAGGCTGCTAACACAAAAGGAATGCATAAAAATATTGTCACCATCATCTTTAGGAATGTTTACCTAAAGATGATGGTGACAATAATCTAATTCTGATTACAATAAAGGAAATTTTATAATGTATTGTAACTTGCATGTTTTGGGACTTTATAATTTTGATATCATTAATTGACTGATAACATTCTTTGATTACAATTAACAGAATCTAATATATAAGCATTTTATTATTGTAGAATTTAAACTTCTTAAAATATTGCTTTCAAATCGCTAAATGATTAATATCATTGTTAACTTATGCATTAATGCTATAGTCTTCTTGCTGTATGATAAATATTACATTTATGATTAAGGACAGCAAATAATATACTGGATGTTTATAAAATAAGTATCTTTATTTGGAGCTGTTAGTAGCTTGAAGAAATAACCCAATTGAAGCCAAAATTGGTACACTTATTATTTAAGAAGGGGAAAGAAGAATAACCACCTGGTACATCAATGGATTTGTTAGAGAAAAAAATTGCAGACAAAAATTTAGAATGAAAAAACCAAGAAATAAATTGCAATATATTTTAAAAAATGTTAAAGCAAATCTATAATTTATAGAAGTGTCAATTATTAATAATATCACAAAAGCATGTTCTTACTTTGTTATAAGAGAAGGGGAAAGAAGAATAACCACCTGGTACATCAATGGATTTGTTAGAGAAAAAAATTGCAGACAAAAATTTAGAATGAAAAAACCAAGAAATAAATTGCAATATATTTTAAAAAATGTTTCAGCAAATCTATAATTTATAGAAGTGTCAATTATTAATAATATCACAAAAGCATGTTCTTACTTTGTTATAAGAGATGTTGGTATGATGCTATAATATTTCTCCTACTTCTATCAGCATCTAATATGTATATATCTTTTGTTGATACTGTACTTTTTCAAAATGTTTACACAAGTTGAGTTTGAAGTTAAAGGGATGAAATCAAAGAGAAGGAATGAGGGATCTGAATGTTTCCTGTAGAGTACCAGGGAGTAACTATGTGGAATATGGTCAAGATTGGTCAAAGGGTTTGGGAGTTGTAAGAGAGTTGAAATCAGCAGGAGGGAGTGAGGTGTCTTGAGTTTTAATTAAGGTAGCTTATGTACATTGGAAAATAACCTTTTTAATAGTGAAAGAATTAAAAAAAATCAGTTTAGTACATTCTGAGATTATCTCGAAGTAAGAAATAAAAATTCTCTATATACATTTGCTTGTTTGTTTTAGTGCTGTTTTATGGTACAAGGACCTCATGGGCTATGCTGTTCCAACCATATAGTAAAATATTAAAATTGACAAAAAAGAAAATAGTACTTGTAAAGAGAGCTCAGAGCTTTCATTTACTTGCATTTTTACAATATGTAACTTAATATTTCCATAACTTTGACTCAGCGTTTTCACTGGCAAGTCATTTTTTTTTTACTAACTGAAATTTGATATTGCAGATATCAGTATGCAAGTATCTGGTATGCAAGAGTACAGAATGCAAATATTGTATGACAATCTAACCAAAGTTGGGCTGCTCTCCGTTGGGTAAAGGTTAAGATGTGCATGACTTGAATGAGTACAGGCTTACCTGATTGGCTTTGCAAAGTTGTAACCTCATTGACAGATAGGCTTGAAAGATGTGAATCTTATCAGGCTGCCAGATGGGCATATAGATGCCTAGATTTGTAAATTCTAGGAAAAAAACAACAAGCTTAAGTGTACACAAATTTTTTTATGCTCAGAGCAATTGTGAGTGAATTTTGGGCAATTTTTCACCTTTTCCAAAAAAAGGGCTAAAACTGCAAAAATTAACACACACGTATGAGAATTTAGCCAAAAATTTTCCAAAATTTAGTGCAAAATAGATGTGAAAGAAACATTTTTGGGCTTGGGATAATGAAAATATCTGGCCGCCTTGAGTCTTACTTATAAGTATGTACTGTAACAGTGCTGTATTTCTTAACACTAATAACTGCATATATGTTTCAGCTTGTAAAGTTATACAAATTACACAATAAATGAGTTTTTCAAAACTGACTGGCTGTGACTCATGGATTATTTACAATAATTTGATTTATGTTTGAGACTAATGAGTCTCTTGTAACTGACAAAATTTTTAGGTTAAGATGTACTCTGACATTAATATAAAAGATAAAATAGCAAAAATATAAGAAGAAAACTCTCAGCCAGTTCTGGCCTTAGAGATGATTCACACATTTAAATAACACTTACAACAAGAAAGGATTATTTATTTTTACTTTCATCATACGGTAATACGAGGGCTGTTCGGAAAGTTTGCGGCCTCACATAGAAAAACAAACAAAATAATGTTAAAACTTTTTTTATTTTTCAATGTAATCTCCTCTGTTAGCAATGCACTTATTCCAGCGATGTTCTAGCTTTTTTATGCCAACACAATAGGTCGATTTGTCAAGGTGTGCAAAATACTCGTTCACTTCAGAGATGACTTCGTCATTTGAGTGGAATCTCTTTCCAGCCAAGAATTTTTTTAGGTTTGGAAAAAGGTGGAAGTCACTGGGGGCCAAATCAGGTGAGTATGGTGGATGTGGAACTAATTGGGAGCGAAGTTCGTTTATCTTTTGTTCAGTGATTCTGGCGGAATGTGCAGGTGCATTATCGTGGTGGAACAGAACTTTTTTTTTTTTTTCAAGTGTGGTCTTTTCTTCGATTTCTTTCTTCAGTTTTCCAAAAGTTCACAGTAATAGACAGCATTAATGGTCTTTCCTCTTTCTAGGTAGTCAATAAAGATGATGCCTTTAGCATCCCAAAAAACCGAGACCATCACTTTACCCGCTGATGGAACTGTCTTTGCCTTCTTTGGTGGTGGCAAACTGTGGTGCTTCCATTGCTTCGACTGTTCTTTTGTTTCAGGAGTGTAGTAATGGATCCACGTTTCGTCAGTAGTCACAAACCGATGCAAGAAATCCTGTGGGTTTTTCTGGTAGAAGTCCAAACACTCCTTTGACATCAAAGTGCGAACACGTTTTTGCTCGGCGGTCAGCAGATGCGGCACCCACCTTGCTGAGACCTTCGTCATACCCAAATCTTCGGTTAGGATGTGGTGCACTCGGTCGACAGAGATGCCTGTTGTCTCAGCTATCTCACGCGTTTTCAAACGGCGATCTGCTAATACCAAATCGTGAACTTTGTTGATGTTTTCTTCAGTGACAGCAGTTGACGGCCGTCCGCTGCAAGGGTCATCTTCCACACTTTCTCTGCCAGATTTAAAAAGGGCTGTCCATTTTTTCACAGTGGTGTACGAAGGNTGTTAATAATTTCCAATGCAGCGCTCTGAGTCCTAATAACTTTTTTCAGCGTTACTTTTCCCCTTTTCCTTTATACTTCTCCCTTCAGAACCCTTCCTTCAATCTTTTCTTCACTCCCTTCTCTTTGTAGTGGGCTAAGTTTGCAAAAGCTGACAGCCCTTCTTCCTTTATTATTATTATTGTCACAGCTCTCCATCACCAAAGAAGTGTATGGTGACGGAGTACTAGTCTCTTCTATGGCGAAGAGTACTACCATGACCAAGGATATGTCTTCTGGCAAGACATGATCATTGCCTATTCATTACGCTCATGACACAGTTGCTAAGTTGGACCATTAAGAAATTTGATACATCTCTTGTAAAGACAAATATTCTGCAACTAAGACTGATTGAGAAATTTCAATATAAACTAAAACAAAAAGTTAATAAAAATGGTTGGGAAGCTGGATCTACAAAGGAGTTGGAGGACAAGATCTAAACCAGACTTCACCATTTCAAAGCTGACCACTCCTGGAAGTTATGGAATGGGTTAAGACTAAAGTTTGAATTGTAGCCAATTGCAGTCCTGATCATCTCATGTGAATGTTAAGCAACCTATCTATATCCAAAAAACTTTATTTTAAAATAAATAATCACTTTTAAACAACTTTGAAATTTGTGCAATTTTTAGGATACACAACATTAACTTAAAAATTTTAAGTAAAATGCTTTTATTTATATCAATAACTACATCATTTATGCAATTTTAAATATAACATTAATTTTTAAAACTGACACTTACCAATTCATATCTTTTAAACTGCTCTGTGCTGCACATGGTTGACGACAAAGAAGGACAACAACAGAATCAGCTTTAGCTGGAATAAATCCTAATACAAAGACATTACGACATCCACAACTATAACATTCGAGTACAGTTTCACCCAACGGACCATCTTTATGCAAAGTAACTTCTTTATGCTTAGCTCTTACTAAATGGTTCAAGATATGGCTAAAAAATACAAATTAGACTAAATCAATAAAATATAATAATTTAATTATGTATATTTGTAATACAACAATCCACAAAAACAAATACAGTAAGATCCTACTTAACGTGGGGGATGCGTTCCTAGACAACAAAGCGCTAAGTGAAGTAATTTTAACAGAGTAAATAGGATAGGGAAACATGCAACCAAATATCAACAAATTTTACTTTCTGTGTGCCTATGTTAAATAACACAAACATATGAACACAGAAATGTAAAGTTCATTTTTTGTAATGAAGGTCCTGACTTTTCTGAAATTCTTGTTTCTTTGCAATAAAGTCGTGAAGTTACATTTGTTGCTTTTTTACAATTTGATCAATGATTTCGGTTATCATTACCAAACTTTCACTAAGGAAATCTGTAGAGAAATTTTTTGGATTCTTTGTTTTCAGAATCTCTATTTTCCAGTTCCACATGAATTCCATGTTCTGCCAGTTCTTGAAGGTCGTTGTAAGGCTCTCACCAGAAACCTGCTGCAACTCCTCAATATCATGCTCATCTATACCTGGCTAGTTGGACTGTATCGATTAGGTTGAGTTTGGTCAACCGAATGATAAAGCGATAGTCTCTTCTTGTTGAGAATTCTTAAATACCTTTAGCCATAACTTCTTCCACATTTTGTTCATGCATTTATCAGTTAATTCTTTCCAAACGAAGTCGATATTTCTTTTGGCATCCATAATGTTATATTTTTTCCAAAATTTCAACAAACAAACATAGATTTAAAGAAAGTACACACTTTTGCCACCTTTTGATGATTGGTTTGTGTTCGCAAATAATCGTATTATATATATATGAATCAATGAAATGCTGTGATAATTTAAATCAGTGTAAATTTTGAGTTTTTTAAAGCTTTGAACAGCGTTATAAGAATCAGCGTTAAGCGAGGTCTTACTGTATTTAAAATGCATTCTTAAAAAAATTAAAATTCAATATAAATTTTTTCCATAATTATAATCTTTTAAAAGTACAGTTATTGCCATTCTGCATTCTATTAGCACCTTAATTCAAGAAAGTAATTAAATTTTTTTTAACTGAAAAATTATTTATATGACCAATAATAGAATGTTTAAATTTTTAACTATTAATCATATATGAAATATGACAACACACAATTGTTATAATCATCTAATAGATTATACAAGGTGGCCTATCTAAAACTGGCCCCACTTACCAATTGAATAATTGGTAAATATTCTTTACTTTTTAAATCTTGAAACAATCCACTTACTCAAATAACTCCCTACGAGTGGCTAATGAATGGAATCAGAGTAGGTTGCAGTGCGTGCATAAACGCAGACTGCCAAATCTCGAGGGTGCCGATACTGGTCAATGTCAAATGTTTCTTTTGTCGCACCATTAGTATACTTCAAAGGATGCGACAGGGTTGTAAATTTTAAATGTTTCTCACCATAGCTGTAAAAATCTAAATATGTTAAACTAAATAGATTGTCCATTGTTTGTTTTCTAACTAATTTGTTTAGGACCAGGTGTCCACAGAAATTTCCAAAATTTACTTTTCAGTCACTCTCATTGAACTGGAAAAATTTCTATCTTTATTACATCCAATATTACAAAGAAATCAGTCCCCACTGTACTCGGCTAGAGACTGGTTTGGTTAAGCTTTTGTTCAAGTAAAATTCTGGCTCTTTCAGCAGGGTTTTATTTATGTCCCTAATTCCCTAATCTCTTAATTATTTAACTACTTCTTAAGTAAAAATAAGTTGAAACTGATTACTTTATACTTGAAGATTTGTAGTCTCAGGGAAGAAGTGGTTAAGATAAATTTTTATGACAACAGATACATAAATCGTAAATTTAAGGAAAATAAATTCTAGAGCTTTTTCTGTACCTCATGCATCTCTCTCATTCATTAAATTTAGTTGTAAATGATGCTGCCAAAGTATCAGTTTATTTTTTAACATTGTACAAGAATTGTATACATTTTATTTCTGCATCCCTTATAGATGAGACATACTAAATTATAATATTACTAGTTTAACATTGAAATCTGTAAGTAATACAAGATAGGAGAGCAGAATAAATATATCAAATATTTATTCTGCTCTCCTACTATAAATCTACTTGCTATCCGCTTAATGGGGTGAGGGTGGCCAAATATCTAGCAGGCAGGCTGCTAACAGCCCAGAACCGGTCCTGGATAGAATCATTGGAAGCATTATACAATACTTTGATGTGTAGCTTCCACCAGCTAAATCACCTGAGGCTGGTGCTCTGTAAAGCACATGTGCAAATGCATGTAATCTGGCTGCTCGGAAGCTGTCCCGTATTTGACAATACAACACCTCCATTCAGTCACTGATATTCGAATATACAATAGCAATCTTATTGTTTTTTTCACATGTAGTATAGAAATTTGTAATAAAATACATAATGTGGTTATAATAAAATATTAATTTTAATTAATTGAAAGTATGTCAAAATATGAAAATAATTGCACAATATTTATTTCTATTTTAGAAAATACAAGGGAAGCGGCACTTCCACCGCTTCCAAGGACGACATGCCACTTATGTAGTGTATTTCACAATCTGCATTAAATAAAACATACAATATACTAATAATATTATTGTCTTATTTAGTTTTTAAACAAATCTTAGCTAAAAAATAAAAATAAAAATTACCTCCCAGAGGTATTTCCTCGTCCATTACAAAACCATCTTTTGCACACATTACACTGTACAACACAACATGGATCATGAATACCACAGTACCTAAAATAAAAATAATTCAAATTATTTTATCTAAAAAAAACATGCCATAACATTTTTATATATTTTTTAATCTGATAAGGTAAATTTATAAAAAGATTTCAAGTTACATACAATTGAAAAAAAATGCTTTATAACTTTTAATTAATTTGTTAAAACACAAAATAAAAAAATTCCTAATATACGAGCGCTAAGACGGCTTTTCTTTTTCACTAGACTTATTACACCATCAATGAAACGGAAAACAAATTTTAGAAAGACTTATTTATTTATTTCAGTATGCATTTTGGATAATTATATCCCTTTTCAACTCTTGTGTTACAACTATACAGGGAAAATTAGCATAACGTGTACAAGTTAGTAAAAAATTTACTAAAATGTTACAAAATTGTAAAAAAACTTACATGAGACTTACATGGACTATGAGAAATGCAGGAGTTGTGACATTAGAAAAAAATATGGATGGTGATTATTGCTTAACAGGTATAAGCTACAATAATGATTAAATTGGAAAAGATTTACAAAAGGGGAACAATTAACATAGATGTAAAAAATTTTTTTGAACTTACAGCAAACATGACGGCCTGGTACATAGTGTTGGAAAAAAACATCCCAGTAAGAAAATCTAATAACATTCCTTAATAAACATTTAAATATTTTATACTAGGACAACTGGCTTTCTTATACCATTAGAAAGACTATTGCTATCATTTTGACAACTATAATTATATTAAAGTTTTTTTTTTTATATTTCCTAGATAAGTAAATATCTGTTTAATAACAAAATAGATGCTTCAAAAGAGAAATAATAAATAAAATCTTAAGTGATAATAATCATTAAAAAATGACAATGAAGACATCATAATACTTATTGCATTGAAATCCTTAAATTTACTTTCATTTAAAAGAGACTTGAATTTTAGAATATAATTTGTATCTAATTCTTAAAATTTTGTGATATTGATATGAGATTTGCTTTCAGAAAGATCTTACAAATAGTTTCAAATTCTACATTGTTACTGTACATAATATATTACAAGAGGATGTGACCAATGCATATATTGAAAAGAGACAATTATACATTATATTATACTAAATAATTACACTACAGTAGAACCCCTCTAGTCTGCCCTCAACTAGTCCGTCACTCCGATTAATCCGACCGTGGTCGGAGTTGAGAAACTTGTCCCGACTCGTTGGTGACTCACTGTCCGTGGCGTTTTTCTGTGTTCATTACAGTATGTTTTACAGTGTGTGTACCTGTACATGTACAGCTTTGTGTGTGTTTTCAATATGTCAGGAGTGAAATGTAAACACGTTACTCTTTCATTAAATGAAAAATTAGCAGTGCTACAAAGACTGGACAAAGGGGAAGATTGTTTATTTTACTTTTTTCTGGTAATCCGACCTTTTTTGCATTCCGACCATACCACCAGTCCCAAAGGTGACGGATTAGAGGAGTTCTACTGTATATAAATTTCCAATAAACTAAATATGAAATTCTTAACAAGTAAGCTTTTTTGAGAAGAAAAATAAGAATTATTTTGATTAACATCAGAACAGAAAGCTTGGTTATCCAAAAAGCAGGGGTGCACAACCTGCGGCCCGCGGGCCACATACGGCCCCTTATCAATGTTTATGCGGCCCGCGGACGGTACGGGCCAAATCCCTTCTTTTGAAGTTTCTAAGTGTAGAACTTTTCCCTTTCACAAAGTCATTAGCACCCAACTGTATTATAACTTTCCCTGAAGTGAGAAATGGGGGGTTGTTCTATAAATAAGTCTATTTCCAGCTAAAGCCTGGACTCCACATTACCTGAAAACAGAAACTCAGAAACAGAACTGAAACATATAGAGTTTTAGTTTCAGTTATGTTTTCGTTTTAACTTGACTCCACTAGAAATGCGCCATCTGTTGATCAGTTCTNATGATTCCAATATGATTTCATCTTATACTTTATGAAAATTCAATATTGTTTTCATTTTTCTATGTAACTCTCTGTGTTGTTTCATGCATAAACATATTTGCTACTGTCCTGCTGCATTTTGTGTCAATCACAGCTGTATTTGTCGATTTTTTCGCAGTTTATTGCTCCGTGCTTAACTTTTGGCAGTGAGTGTATAACCGACCATCTGACCTTTTTCACACCACATGCTAGAGGTTGGACAGACATTTGTCTGGTGTCAGCAGAACTGGCGCAAATAGTAGAGAATTGCAAAACTTTATTATGTACCTCGGCAAGTGACCATAGGTTTATCTTTACGCAAATAAAGCACATAAATATCATCAACAAGAATGCTCAGGTGAACATAAAACAGACAAATTGAGACCTCTTTCGTTACTTATTTAATGAAACTTGGATAAAACATGACTTCCCACACATTCATATGAAACAAGACATTGATACCTTTGTTGAACACGTGACTAAAGGCATTCAAAATGCAGGCAACCAAGCCGGTAAGATAATTACTGCAAACAAAAGAAAAACCCATTGGTGGACTAATGAGCTAGACAAACAAAAGAAAATAATTAACAAAACAAGAAAGCGATATCTAAGGATGTTGGACAAAGAAACCAAGCAAAGAATTTGTGATAAGTACAAAAAATTATTTAAAGAGTATAAAAAGAGTATAAATGCTACCAGAACAAAAGCTTGGAGACAATTTTGTAACAAGGCAAACTCCAAAGGTCCATGGGAAATTCCATATCAACTCGTCTTTAGAAATAAAAAGAAACTTAAGCTATCAGACATTGTTGATTGGAACAAAGGAATAGAAGATAGTGGAGACTACAATATCGAACATAACATTAATAGGATCCTTGATTATCATTTTTCTATGGATACCAATTTGGATAACTGTAACACAGATGGCCAGTCAGATACAGAAGTAAACACTAACGAATACTATGAAACTTGCAGATTATTTACATTCAAAGAGATAAGACATGCCATCTCTTCTCTAAGAAATAAAGCACCAGGTCTGGATAGTATAACAGCAGAAATGTTAAAAAATGCTTTTGAGGAGATCCCAATCGTATTTGTTTATTTATACAATGAATGTCTCAAGCACGGTTACTTCCCAGCAAATTGGAAGACGGCGAACATAAAGTTAATCCCAAATCACAATAATCCATCTAGTCCTGGTGATTACAGGCCAATTAGCATACTCTCTGTGATGGGAAAAGTCCTTGACGGACTTATTATTAAACGGATCAACAGACACCCGTACAAGAATGGTCATATGCACCAAAACCAATTCAGATTTAGAACAAACAAATCAATGATACACATGGCACTGAGCGTTAAAGAATTTGTATACAAAGCATGGGAGGAGAACAAACACGCTTTATTAATAGCAATCGATTACAAAAAAGCCTTCAACCACTTAAGATGGCCACTCATAAAAAAAATCGCTTCAAAGATGTTAACAATCCAAGAAGTTTATGCTTCTGACACAATATAGTGCTATAAATTAAGACACTTGGCGGATTTTCTCATCTTTATTTATAGCACTATATTGTGTCAGAAGCATAAACAAATAGCAAAGCACGGTTTCATATCATCAAAAAAAAAAAAAATCCAAGAAGTGTCAACAAATTATTAAATAGTTACTTAAATGAAATATTCATCAAATTTCACTCCAACTACATTCATATAAGGAGAACAATAAACAGGGGTTGCCCACAGGTTGTAGCGGCCCAGGGCTATGGAATTTGGTGTTCAATAAACTACTGACGAATTTTGACCATTGCAATGATCTAAAGGTCCAAGCTTTTGCTGATGACTTACTAATAATGATAGCAAATAAAAATTGCGATAAACTGACCGATGAAGCTAATGGAACACTTCACAAAATACTGCAATGGAGCAAGGAACAAATACTCCCAATTAACTATGCAAAGTGTGAAGCAATGGTGTGTACTCAAAAAAATAAACGTGGACAGTTACAAAAAACCCTTAAACTTCGTATGGATAATAACAGAATTAAACAAGTGAAAGTTTTGAAATACCTTGGAATATTCTTTGACCCAAAGTTCAGTTGGCACCATCATGTAAATGAAATTAGCAAGAAAACGAGTCAAAGAGCTAACCTCCTCAATTGGATTAGACGCACTTAACAACACACGTTTGCAAAAAATTACTGTCAATACAGAGAAGAGCAGTGATAAGGATTACTCGTGCTTATCAAACAGCTTCGACAGATACAATACTGGTACTGGCTGGACTAATGCCAATACATATCACGGCAAGGAGGATATTGAAAAACGTATTAAAAATAAAATGATTCCAAACAGCTATTGGAATATACCTGATATTACTAAAAAATACAAAATTGATAGAACTAGTAATGATATATGCCTCCAACTACACCCAGCAGACATGCACAGCTACAAAATAAGTTTCGATTATAATCCCGAAACAAACAGATACTTTCAGTGGATAGTGTACACAGATGGTTTTAAGCAAGAGTGCGGAGTGGGAGCTGGTGTGTGCATTCAAAACAACAATAATACAATATATCAGTCCAGATTAAAACTTGCTAAACATTGTAGCATTACGCAAGCTGAACTATGGGCCACGTACAAAGCAATCATCCAAATAAAAGATAACTTAAATAAATACAAATGAAACATAAAATTCCTTATTGACAGTAAGGTGGTTCTTCATGTCTTGGCAAAAACTGAAAACATCACACTACTGGGCAAAGAAGTTATTAAGGTAGTACAATATCTCAGTACTACCCACAATATTCAATTCAGTTGGATACCAGCTCATAAAGGACATAAAGGAAATGAACTGGCTGATTCTTTGGCCAAAACGGCTGGTACTCTCAAGGTGCAGGATACATATACCAGGTTACCAAAATCAACACCGAAAAATTCCTTAAACGAATGGGCACTAATTGAATGGCAGAAAAATTGGAATAATTCTGCAACGGGGAGACTTTGCCACCAGTTTATTCCCTCTATTACTAATCGCATCAAGGCTAATTACGAGAGCTG